TAATTTTTATGATTTTATTTAATTTTTAATTCTCCTTGATAAAATTTGAATCTTCTTCGAAAAATCACTACTAAAATGATATCGCTCTACATATCAATAAATCATGTGTAATTCATATAAATTGAATTAAGATTTAAAATTTCCAAGAAATTCCAAAAACAAATATAGGAAAAGTACATTATCATTCAATCTGATATTTTAGATGTTATTTGAATCATTAAATATGTAATGGTTTACCTATATATTTTGATGAACGCTATAATATTTATATCTATCAATAAAAATGTTAAATTTTAGGTTTAATAAATACTGGTTTTTAAATAATCTCTAAATAATCCTATTAAATTCATTTAGATAAATCTATTGAGATTCTAGGATAATCTCATAAGTTTATGACACAGGCTATTTTAAAAAGACTTGATATTTTATAGAGATACTAAAAATAATAGTAAATTAATTGATCAATAATAAATATAAAATATTATTCACCATTAAGCTTTTGAAACCCCAACATTTTTTCTAATTTAAAATTCACTTTTTGTATAGTTCCATGTAACTAGATATTCCCCATCCTCTGTAAATGCTCCAAATTAACGATAATCATTAAAATCAATTCTCTAAAGCATTTCAAATTGTTCATCATTTAATTATTTAATGATGTATAAATATTTATTATGTATATTAGCGAAAACCCCTTTGGTTGTGAGGAGTTATGATGGAAAATATTGATAGTCATCTTCTGCTAAAACTTATTAAATATTATGTTTACAAACCTAAAAAGAAGATATTTCGGAATCATATTGATATATATGGATGTTTTAATTATAAGGCTACCACAAAAATTAGTTATCATTTATAAAAAGGATTCTATAACCATATGTATCTTATTCAATTATTTATTTTTTTTCCATTTTGAATTCTTCTTTAATTTCCCAAACTATAATACACTTATCCTAACTGCAAGATACCATAAATGATTCCGATTTATTTAATGAAAGACCATAAACTGAATCAGAATGAAATTCTAAAACTTATTGGCATTTAAATCCATCTTAAACTTTCATCCAAACCCTAATTGTATGATCTCTACTTCCAGATATGATTAATTATTCATCTATTGTCTAAGTTAAACACAAAACCCAACCTTTATGTCCTTCTAAAACTTAGCTTTTCCATTTATTCTAATCAACTTAAGTCCATATTATAATAGTATTATCATCACTTCCAGAAATAAATTAATTGATTTTCTTACTGAATAATAAACAATTAATATCTCCTGTATGTTATTAAGCTTAGTATGTTTACACAATCCTTCCTTTTAAAAAATCAAATATTTTTATAGAAAATATACATCCAGCTATCATAATATTACCTTCTTTGTTAAAAGCTATTGCATTACACCATTCAGCCTATTTCTTAGTAAAAAATACTTAATAATCAATATATTTATCAGACCATTTTAATTAAAGAATCCGCCATTCTTCTAATGATTTAATATGACCATTTATTTTTTTAATCCTTTATTCTGATTTTGCTTCTCTTATTTAAATCTAATTATTATCATTTTTAATGCTATTTGATAGTTCCTTCTATACCTCACTATTTTTTGGTGATTTATTAATTTACTTATTGTCATTCAATTTATGTATGAAATTTAAATTTAATTAGTTTATTTAATTATTAATTTCTTCTATGCTGTTTTAAAACATGCTATCAAAATTCAAATTTTCCATTTTATATTTTATCTCCATTTCTATTAAATTCAATTTAATCTCCTCTGGTTTACTCAAAACTTCAGCAATATTTAAAATTTCGTTTAAAGTCATAGAATTCCAATTTTTATTCATACTATTTAATCTTGAGAATATCTCTTATTCTGTAATTGCCATTATCTCATTTAATGTTAAAACAATATTATTGATTTTTTCAATAAAAGAACTCTTTAAAAAAAATAACTATTGTTATATTATTCCTATCTGTGATTTTCTCGATTTATAAAACTTATACATTATTTCTGATTGTTGTCTTTCATAATTACTCCACATATTCTAACATTTCGTTAATGAAGTAAAAATACATGGATCACATTCAACACACTTTGCCCTTTTTTCTCTTTTTTGTTATTCATTTAAATCAAATAATATGATTTCTTTTTCGTGTTCTTAACAAATCAAATCTAATTTTGGAGTCCTCTTTTAAAAATATTTCAATATAAACTTACTTAAATATTTCCTTTATACAATTCAATAATTATTTCATTTCTATCTATAAATTACATCTTTCTTTTATCATCTATCTGTATTAAAGATTCAAAACACTCGTTTAAAATATCACTCTATTACAATCTCATTATTTCATGTTATATTTAATTATAAAATTCTATAAAACTCTATTCTTAACTTTTCTTCTTCAAAACTTCAAAACTTAATAATTATTCAGTTAATAATTGTCCAAAATCTCTTATATTTAAATTTGCGCTACAATTTTCTTACTTTCCATTTTACGTAAATTCTGATTCCAATATTGGACCAATCAATTCTATTCTTTCATTTATTTAGATATTTATTGAATCAAATACTTAAGAAAAATGATTCTACAATCTCTAAACTATTGCTTGCATATTTTTTAATTCCATTATTTTACCAGCCTACTCTTCCTCAAATATGCTTTAATATTTCAATCTAAATTATTCAAATACTAATTCTGCGTCTTTCAATAAATATATGTTTTTATTATTGGTTTTCTCAGCTAGGCAATTTTCACATAAAATTTAATAATTGCTTTCATCTCTTATCAAGCATTCTACAGCAATTCCTACTTTTTAATGAAATTGACAAATATCTAAAGACTTTTACATCAATAATCACACAGCAAGATTAACTTTAATTGAAATAATCAAATTTTGTGATTAATGTATACTTATTAATATTTAATTATGTACTCATTAATTAACATGTTTTTTTCATTCATTTATATCCAAAATAGATATTCACTCGTTATTATTTCTCATTTAATAAATATATTTTTTTTTTATTTTATAAAACAAAACAAGTTTA